GTCCTATAACACTTGGCTCCACTTTAGAAACAAAGTTTGACATCTTCATTTACATGCTGCACGATGATGTTTTCAAGAGTTTAAGAATGGGTGATCGGTAAACATGCAATGAAGAGCATGTAGTTTAAAATAACATTATTGATTGCACTTTAGAGTAAAGGACACCTTTTAAGTTTAATGTCAGTTGAATGAAGCTAGTGGAATTCCAACAAGGAAACTGCACAAACTTAATGTGTTCTTGTATTTACAGTGAATAATATTAGAGCAGGTACCCACAGAAAATGTTATTTAACGTGAATACAAAAACATGAGTTTATGACAACCAAACTTTGCTTCTCAGACCCCTGGGTTTTGGAAATTACCTCAACAATTAACCTAATTGAGGAGGTAAAGCAGATTTAATTAAAAACTTAATAATCATCAAAGTCTTCATTTCCAACAGCCAATAATCAGTTGAGTGAGGTGTGGAAAAAATTTGCTAATGGAGTTTTGACTGTTACAGTGAAATAATGGTATTGTCACAGGCAACCTTCTTCGTTTGCAGGCTAACCAAATCTCAAGAGCCATGTGTTGCCTAGACAAGCCTAGACAAGTTTAGTAAATGACAATTTGCCACTGGAAACACAGCCAACAAGTTTTAATGTTGAAATGTGGTCACCAAACTTCTGCCATGTCTTGCTTGACTGATAATCATAGTTAGTACCTCAGAGGTGATGAAAATCCTAATCATGAAGACCTCTAACACAATGAGCCTATGCTTGCACACATTCATTTATTGACAGGAATATCCCATAATTAATAAGAGTTCCACAACAAGAAACAACTTCTTAACCCTTTACACCCTAACATCAGTATGCATATTCTCCATTATATTCTCTATACATTTCCTTCAGTGCTAGAAAGGAGAATTTGTGACCTTAATATGTGATTAGTTGTTGAGCAGAAATTAGATACTGGTTACTCTTAGGGATGAGAGGGTTAGGCATGTGGAGCAGATCTCCCTTAAAAAATAAAAAACTTTCAAATATGAGATAACATGATGGGATTATGGTATTCAGAGTAGTAATAGCAATCTGAGTCAATCATATTCATTTGAAAATACACACCTTTCTACTTGCAATAACTGAGCTCTGATTACTGACAATGGCTCCTATCTGACTTGAGCGAGGACGAGAGTGAAAATACTCCTCACTCTCTTTTTGCGACAGTTTTTCCACTCTCCCTTCTACTCTCACCTAGATAAACATTAATAAGGGGAAGGTTAGAAAGTTAAGATGAAATTTAACATGTTTCCAATTTGCTCAAACTGCCTGAGGTGTAACCATTCCCAGTCCTCCCTTAAAAAAGCAACCTTGAAGGGTGGCAAAGAGTTTAAACATGACCCATGATTAAGACCAAAATTGATTCTTGGTGTGTGAACTTTATGGAAAGGCAAGCATGATTTATTCAAATTTGTGATTTGCCTCCAAAAATATATGTGACCTAAGAATTTTTCTTTCAGTTTATGATTACCTCAGAATTTCACTGAAACCTTGTGCACTGGTAAAGAGATTTGACTTTTCCCCTTGTATATCTGTGACATGTGAATTTTTCTTAAATTCTTGCACAAAATGTGACCAGGAGCCCCCCTTTGCTTCTCCCTGTAGGGATGTTTAACAATTTCACCTCTTTAGCAAATCAGCTATAGAAGCATTGATAGCTACAAGATGATTTAGATCTCATCTACAATACTTTGTTAATGAAGGAAAAGAAACAAACTACAAAAAGTAATAAGATAATTAAAAATATAGCAGTTTACATGATGTTCTTGAAGTTGAGAGGAAAGTAAAACAATGCATAAACAAAAGATTACAGTTTTACCTGTCGGTGCAAAGGGTCCCAGTAAAATAATAATGAAGCATAAGGGTTTTCTTTCTGAAAAAAAGAACAGAAGTTAGCCATAGTATCCAAGTTCATACCTATCTTTTGGTTCTTCTAGAGTAAATACCATCCTCTCATTGGTTACAGAACGGCTCAGAGGTAGATGGCTGACAACAAAACCTTCACACATTTTTTGCATGTAAGACTCCAGCCTGAGATTGTGATGTTGTATTAAAAATTTGAAATCACTGTGAAAGATGTGACTTGATTGAGATGGTACATCTTCTTAACTTTCATTCCATGTGTATGGGAGAGCTGACAAGTGCAGGTCAGATTAGCAGTGGACTGCAAACTGGGTTTGTATTCACTGGACTAGCTAGAACTGAGTGGGCAAATGGTGATATGGACATACACATACTGATGTAGGTGACAGTGCATGAACAAAGTGTACTATTAGTGGTTCTGTCGGTGAAGTTACGGCTGGTTCTCTTGCTAAATGTGTTTATTAAGCAGTAAAGATGAACCTATCCAGCCATATTTAGGTTGGCTACTTTATTTGCGCCAATAATCAACCTGATACCTTGATTGCTTTAAGATACTTGCAACACCTCAACACTTTACTATATGTTGGGATAACAGTTGTGACCTGCACCCTTATTCAAAAAATACATGTAGACTCCATATTGCCATGCATCTTTTCTGTGATAAATCAAACATGACACTAAAATGTGGTACAGCTGAGTGTCACTAACGTTCTTACCACAGCTTGACATCTTTTGTGATCTATTACTGAGCAAGACCACTGCAACATGGAATCCTTTTAATTCATATAAATTAATCATAAAATTTTTTCAATGGTGGCATCATCAATGCATCTGTCCTCCAATGGATTATAAGAAAGATCCAATCAAAATAAAAATATAATTCAGCTTATCATTAAAATAAAAGTGAAGTTCAGTACCTTGCATCAATGCAACGTCCCTTGAGAGTTTGACTCTCCCAACCCTCCCCTCCCTCTTTACACAAACATGTAAACAAAAGAAGTATCCAGAATGATCTGCATAGATTGTATGTATCTAGTTTTGAAATTCGAAAAACATATCAGCGACACCCGTGCGTCCAATAATGTGAATGTTGCTTCAGTTCTAAGATTGAAAACATTACATAACCATGATTACATAATAAGGTAAGCTCACCAATTGTCCTGCTTTTGAGCTGTTATAATTAGTGAAGAAAGTGAATCCTGTGTTATCATAGCCTTTTAACAACACCACTCTTGCTGTAGGACGACAGTCCCTGCAGAAGAAACAGTAGTTTGAGAAAGAAACTCTTTCCATTCCTAACGCCGCTGAAACGGTTGATAATCCAATATGGCGAACATCATAACAATAATGCTATGTAAGAGGTACCGGGTGATGCGAAAGAATACATTAAAATTAATTGAAAAGATGAGAAAAATCACCACAAACCTTCCGCATGTGGATAGAATCATGGCATTTGCCTCTCCGATATTAGGACTTTTGGAAGCTTCTCTGAACCACGCATCGAACTGCATAAAAGGTTCCTTTGCCACAAGATGAGATTCATCGAAGCCATCGGGCATTTCATAGTTTCTTCTCATGGAAGCAACGTCCTCTTTACGCAGCATGGCTGTAAACACACCAAAGCCTCTGCTTGTTTCAGTGTTCCTTGCAACCACCAGGGTTTTTCTCCAAACTCTCAACGAAAATAAAGTCATAAGTCAGTTCCTTGATTGTCACGCCACATCATTCGTTAACTGAAGCTTAGATTAACCGCGCAGAGATCTGGGCATTAATAGAAAAAGCTGGTCCTAGTCCTCTGTTTTCATCACGGGAAAGGCACCAGAGTTAGTCAACCTAGACAACCCACCTTCCCC